GTAGGGATGGGTATGCTTTAACTGTAATGGCCCAGAGAGGCATCTAATCCTTTCTTTTGATATATGGCCCAGCTCTGAGCAAGGGCTAGGACCAGAAATCTTCAGAGGTCTGCAAAGCCTTCTAGCTATTACTATGCAAACAGCAATTCATTTCTACTTAACATTACACAGCAATCTGGTGGTACGTGTTTTTTCTTTCCTTTGATTTTCATTTCAGACATGTTTGCTGTGGGCTTTCTGAAGCAGGGCAGAGTGAGCTGTGAGCTCTGTGGTCAGAGGGAAGTGGGGCTGCTCCTCAGCAGAGGTGGCTGCTCTCCTGGGGTGGTCTTTGCTATTTGAATTTCAATTCAGATCAGTTGTAAATACCAGGCTGCTCCCTTGGAATGTAGCTGGAGTTTGCTTGGGGCCGATGGGGCAGCTTTGTGTTGTGTGCTCTGCCTGCAGCCCCACCAGAGCATCCCAAACGTATTACTTGGATCCACTTGCATAAAGCAGCTATTCTTCTTCCTAGAGAACTGCTGAAATCTTAGTGCTTACAGCAAGATCTGCTCTGCCTGGTATGTTAGGAGGCTGTGGTTTGGTACTTGGATGCTGACTTGGTTGCAAATCAGGTAGAGTTTCTGGGCGAAGGAGGAAAGTGAGAAACAGCTGGGGGCACCGAGCCCAGGACTGAAGTGGTACAAAGAAGTGTTGCAGAACTTGACCAAAACAGATAGGCATGCCTGAAGCGTGGATCATGAGACACCTCTGAATAGGATGTGTGAAGAGCGTTCCGGTGGGAGTGTTTTACTCCTGCTTTATGGCTTCGGTGCTTTTTGAGCGTGAGAGCAGGAGAATGAAAGGCAATTGGGCTTTCCTCTGGATAGGAGCAGTGTCAGAGCAGCTTCAAACCCATGTATGTACATGGATGTTGCCTTCAGTAAAGAAAAATCTTTCAGACCTGTGAGCTTAGCAGGCTGCCTAAGAACAAGAAACAGTAATAATTACACACTCCTCTCAAATGTGTGTGCATGTCTCAGTGGGTGACAAGGGAGACCAGCTCTGCAGCAGCAAGGGTGCTGTTGGGAGGCTGTGCTAGTGAGCAAAATGTGACCGGATCCTGTGGTAAAATATATGTTTATTTTCTATTTGGTGAGAGTCCTGTGCCACCCATACTCCCACAGAAGCATCTCATCACAGAGTACCTTCAGCATTTCCTCCACCTACAATCTGCTGTGGGTGTAGCTGTGGTCACCAGAGGGCTGGTGTGGGATGCGGTGTAGTGCAGGCAGGAGCAGGAACACAGCCCTGGGTGCCTAACTCCCAGCATGACATGAGACTCAAAAGAGGCATATTCATACCACTACCAAAGTATGAGTGGCAGGACCCAGCAAGGTTTTGATTTCATTATAGCTTAACATGCAGCCAGAAAATATTATTTCTCTGATATGAAGGAGGAGATACCTACCTTTGGGAGATTTTAGAAGCAAGGAATTGGAAAATGAAATTAATGAGTGGAAAGCAATAACACAAGCCAATATTCACAAAAGTGTTATTTACTTCTTTTTTATTAAGGCTCATTTTACACAAGCATTAGTGGTTATAATAGCTGATCTGTCACTGGTATTTAATACTGAAGGGCCTCTAAAAAGGCTTTAGGAGACATCTGCTTATTTTAAAAATCTCTTCTCCCCGTTGTCACATTTGTGCCTAAAATTCAATCTTGTGGTATAAAGAATGAACTCTTGAGCATTTCTGATTAGGGTGGTTTAAAAGGCTAGGGTCCTTCTGGAGGATGGTTAGAGCTTAGATGTCAATGGATGTATGCACTCCAGAGCTCATGGATGCTTATAATGCTATCAAAAAGGTGTGATTATTGATTTATTTTATTTTTGTTTTGTTTTAGTATGCAAGTTGAGTCTTTTTAAGTGGGTTTATGTAGCGAGGTCTTTGAGCCTCTGTTCATCTCGACAAGCTAGAGATCTTGATCATTCAGGTCAGAATCTTAGAATCAGAAATCCAAAAAGCTAGATCTTCTCAGTAAAGGAATGTCGGCTCTTTTTTTATTCCATATAGTATCTAAGATGCAAAACCAACAACCAACAAAATATCAACAAAGTAAGTTGGATTACACATGCTGCATAAGTTGTACTTGGTAAGGTCCACAAGTATTTTCTGCTCACAATGTGATTTAGCCAATAAGAGTTGACTGGTGTTTTCAATTCTTATCTGGGAAGCCTACAAAATGGTGACATCACATTGCAATTAGCAGACAATTTAAAGATATTCAAACAATTATATCACATTTTCAGCCCCACTAATTGGCACCACAGCTGTTTTCTTTGTCTCCTTTTTTTGGACCTGTGGCCACAGGGTATTAATTAATGGAGAAAACCAGTGGAGAATTTTTAAAAGTGTGCAGACACCAGTGGTTTGGAGAAGAGCCAACCTGTAAGGTTCTGCATTAAGGGTGTTGCAAGACAGCTATGTTTAGTAGAGACCTAAAGGGGAGGTGTGCAGAAAATACCCTTACTGTGATCTTAGTTGGCAGGTCACTGTCTGGGTTGGGTCTTGTCAGCAAAAATAGCAAGAAATGTATTCGTGCTAGTCTATTCTCTCCTGACGTCTTGGGACAGGGCTATTCTAAGAGGGTCTGTTATTATGTTGTTGTAGTTGGAGAGTATGTATTTAAATGTTAGAGTCGTGGCCAAGAGCATGTAAAGGTAGGATGGGGGGTTTAGCCTTTTGTGGTGATTGTGGAGCAATGCATGGCCATGGATAGATAAAGTGATTCTCTTAGAGCAGTATCCTTTTAAATTGCTAATCACCTACACATTTACTGGCAGTTGAAATTCAGGGGAGTGCCCCTGTGAAAATAGGAAGATGTCAGTTAAAGGTGCGTAAGGCAGCATGGTGTCATACCAAATAGAAAAGGAGTGATTGCAGTCACTGGTTTAGCGTCTGTGAAAAACAGGCAGCATGTGACCCCATGTGTGTCATACTCTCACAGTATTGCTACAGATCTTTTTGCACTCTTATGGTCTGGAGGGTTGTAGCCACCTTGCAAAACAAAAGAAGCAAACCTCCTCTTTGGAGGCTAGCAGCCTGCAGGCAGGAGAGAAGGAAGCTGGGGAGCTTTACGTAGAAATGCAGGACTCCCAGCAGAGCTGTTCAGAGAGCTGACTCTCAGTAACACTTTGTATTTTTCTTCCTTGTATCCTAAATGTAATCATCAGTTTGCCTAAATCTTCATCACCTTCTATGGACTATAGTTTTAACTGTCTTCAGTCTTTCCTTCTCTCTCCGTTTGGGCTATAATTCCTTCAGTTTCCCTGAATTGAAGTAAACACAAGATCGGAGGGCAAGGAGAAGGCAGAGTAAGCCTCCTGCAGTGCAACATCTTCTAGCCATCAGTAGGGCTTCAAAGGAGCATCTGGCAGGCCCAGGGGATGTTTTGTATCTATTTGTCTAACACCTTCTGGGTTGTAACTTGTCTGTGTGTCATTAGAAGGTGACAGTAAATCTGTGATACACAAGAAGAAATCTGACCTCCACAATCAGAGCACCTGCTGTGCTCTTGGGGTTGCCAGAACCTAGGGGCTGTTTTTCCCATGATACTTCAGCTCATTGTGGTAGTCTAATGACAGTCCTGCACCTTCCTGCCCTCCCTGTTCTCTCTCTCCTGCGTTGTCCCTGAGAAAGGAAGCCTCAGCTTGATACCGAGGTGCTTTCTGCACTTCTCTTGCCCTGTATTTCCTCTGAAGTTGAGTGCATCATCTGCTGTTCTTTCTGCACGGTCTGCCTTTCCAAAAATTAGACACAAGACATTTGCAGGACATACAGCAGCTGTCAGGTGCAACGGGGCACTTGCCCTTAACCAGTGAGACCTGAGCACCCTCCCTAAGACTGGTGAGGCACATGGCTCGTTCACGTCGGGGAGACACTTGCCACGATTAAATATTTGAATTTTGGATTCAGTTGGGAGATGTACCGATGTGCATGTTGCTCCCCATTAGCTCATTTGGCTTGTTTCGTTCATGTGACCTCTTGTTACCTATCCATCATTCCATTTTTCTTTCCTATTAGAGTGAAATTGGACACAGCCCTCCTCCTGCCTACACCCCTATGTCAGGAGTAAGTATTTCACCTTTAACCTTCATCCTTTAGGTTTCCTTCTTCCTTCACTATTTAATTTCTGTTTCAAACTCCTTTTTCCTACATAAATGGCCCAAAAAACATGAGTGAATTAATGGGTATGTAAGCAATCAAAGAGTCAGGAGCTCTACATTCAGTCTGGATTCCTGTGCGAGCTCTATGGACCGACACCCTGAATTCTGCCAACTTTTCTTGAAAAAACATTTAGGAAAGAGGCTTGGATGAATCTGTACCTTTTCCCTTCCTGTTTATAGGTCATGATGTTGAAATTCCCTTGCACACTCTTGCTGACAAACAAAATGGTAGGTTGAGTTGAACCATTGAGTCGAGGTAGCGACACGAGCACAGTTCACCTGCCTGAAATGCACTACCTGATGGAATTGGTGGTGATGAGGAGCATGTATTGTATAGCATGAATTGTATAGCTTTTGAGTGACTGTGTGATTGTCACTGCAGGATGCCCTGAAAGTAGCCCCCCCAGGAGTAAAGAGAGTTCTGAGGCAATAATGTCCTCTGCCCCCAGTCTCCTTAGCTGAAGGAGGTTTCCCTATCAAGAGTTTTAAGAGTTCAGTTCAGAATTCAGGGGAGATTGACAAAATAATAGGAGATACCGTGTTTGCCTCTTGCAACTGTGTATGCTCGAGTTCCACACGTTTAGGTTGGATACAAGTTTTCCTGCCCCATTTCCAGCCCCGAGCGGCCATCTTGCTTCCCCACTCCCCTTGCTGCCCTGACGATGTCTCCCTGGAAGAGGAAAATGGCTCAGCACACCGGGCAGAGGGATGCTTTACCAGACTGCAGCAGGGCCTGTGCTGCTCCCTCCTTCCAGAGCCTCCTTCCTCACGCTGCCTTTTCTTTTTCCACAGAACCAGTTTGTGTATACAGATGGTGGCTACGCTGCTGAAGTGCCCATGCCGTACAGAGCTCCTGGCTGCATAATACCAGAAGCCCCAGTTGCCCAAGGGGCAACAGCAGAGATCTTTGAAGACAGTTGCTGTAACGGCACGCTACGAAAACAAGCAGCAACCCTGGCAAAAGAGGACAGCAGCACCCAGAGGTACAGCGCTGATCCCACCGTCTTCATCCCTGAGCGGGTTGTCCGGGGAGAGCTGGATGAGGATGGGTACATGACACCGATGCGAGACAAACCCAAAACAGGTAAAAACATGTCCTGCCCTAGTCTGACTGCATTCTCGTTTTTTCTAGATCAGCAGCTTTTCACCAAAAATGTTTTTATTGAATAACCCAACAAGGTTGAAACATTCAGACTTGGTTAATATTTCTTTGCATGGAGATTCATTTTTCTTTGCTTAATTTGCTCCTTAGAGAAGCTCAAATGTGCCAGAATGTCAAATTCGGTGATTTCCTCTTTGAATTTTGTTTCTTGGAAATAACGAGAGTTAGGAACGAAGAAACCCAAATCTTCTTATCCAAACAGAAATCTTCAGTTATTTCCAAGAAAAGGATCTATTTTTGGCCAGCCATAGTCTCCCCTTTTTGTTTATTGATCTTTCTCTTCCTGGCATTGTGCTTAGTAAATATCATATTGAACGTGTGACCGAACCGATACACGCATTTGGCACTTTTTATACCCAAGAGAAGTTTTGGATTGAAAGAACAAGTAGTGATTCAGAGTAACTATCACTGCAAGGTTAAGTTTGCCTAGATCTGTGCCAGACCAGAGTGCTACGCTTCCCAGTTTGTCATGATTCATTTCTTCCTTTTTAAATAGTGACAGCAGTTGTGTAGACGTAAGAGGATGTGTCATTAGTGATTTGCTTTCAAGCATTTACACTAGCTTTAAATAAATTAATTCACGTAAACGTAAATGCCAAGAAACTACCAGGTTTGCTTCAGAATGTGGAAGCTGCTTATGCTGTGTGTGTTGGACGGTGGAGATGGAGTCCCAGGGCTTGTTTCACAGCAGTAGCAATTGTCGGGATGCACTTGTGGCCTTACCTTTCAGCAGCAGCCCTTTCAGGAAGAGATGTGAAGCAACTGTAACCTGCTCCACGTCCCGATTTGGAGCTGGTGTAAGACACTCTTGTGCTCTCTCTAGGGCTGGGTTGATTTTTTTTTTTTTTCGTGGCCCTTTGTCCTTCAGGGATGGAAGGCTTTTAATCAGGCAAATTGTTCTGTTAGAAATGAAGGGCTAGCTTGGAAGTTAGTTAAGCCTCTCTGCACTGAAAACATCCCCGAGGACTAAGATTTCTATAGAGCTTTCTGGATGGAAAGACTGTGGAGCTGAGAGTTTGACCGATATGTCCAAGGTTGCCAAGATAGGAAGCAGCAGATGCAGAAGTCACTGGGCATGCTTGGCTCTGTAGGTCATACTGTGAGAGGAAGTTCAGGATCAAACAAGGTGCACAGGCTATGGTTCAGTGAGAGCCGTCGCTGAGTTTCCAGCTTTGCTAGAACGAGTGCCTGGGATGGAAGGATGCACAGGTTGGAGTCATGCTTCTGGTACAGCCGGGTAGGACCACACACGTGATACTTGCTACATGGATGGATTCTTCCTTCTCTTTGCTGATCTATTTTTATTCTTTCTTTAGATTACCTAAACCCAGTGGAAGAGAACCCATTTGTTTCCCGACGAAAGAACGGAGATCTCCAAGCTGTGGACAACCCGGAGTATCACAAAGCTCCGAATGGGCAGTCCAAAGCAGAGGACGAGTACGTGAATGAGCCATTGTACCTCAACACTTTTGCAAACACCCTGGAAAACACTGAGTACCTGAAGAACAATTTGCCAGAGAAAGCCAAGAAGGCCTTTGACAACCCAGACTACTGGAATCACAGCCTGCCCCCGCGAAGCACCCTCCAGCACCCGGACTACCTACAAGATTACAGCACAAAATACTTTTACAAACAGAACGGACGGATCCGGCCCATTGTGGCAGAGAATCCCGAATACCTCTCCGAGTTCTCCCTGAAGCCCGGCACTGTGCTGCCCCCACCGCCCTACAGACACCGAAATACAGTGGTGTAGTGACCACTGGCAGATGGAAGCGGAACGGCAGCAACTTCTGGCTGCCTCGCTCTTTCACTCTCCTTCTCTCTCCCTTCCCTCCCTTTCTCCCATGAGCTTCCTCTTCTCGCCGGTTCATTCTTTTTTGACATTTCCAAGGGAAAGAACGTCTTGGACTCATTCGCAGATTGGGTTGGGTACCTGGAAGGAAGGAAAGAGACTGAAAGAAGGCGTGTACAGCCTGGTGTTTACCTTCCACGGATCCGGAGGGTCAGAGAAGCCAGTCGGTCGAGGACAGTGGCAGTGTTGCCTGCTCTGGAGTCAGTTCTCTCTGATTCCACCCAGATGCTGTAGGGAAGCCTCAGAGAGGACATTTCTTTCAGCAGGCAAT